TCAGAAGTAGCCCCTGGCGTCCTGCTCTACGCCAATTGAGCAGAGACTTATAACCGGTAACTGCTACTTCCCGTGTTGTTTCGACGCTGTATGCGAAGCTGGAGTGTCCTCTCCAGAGCACGAAGCCTGGGTAAAATAGTATGGAGGATAGGCTGTTACCCAAGCAGCAAATCCCCCCTCTCCACATCGCTGAAATGGTCCAGTGGAAAGGCAAGAGCCAATACAACTGGTTCCAGCAACGTCGCAGGAGTTGGCAGAGTGAAAGAAAATGCCTCCGGGACTCCGGCTCCGGATATAGGCGGGGTATAAATACAATAAATAAAAAATACTGTAAGTCCTGCATACGCCACCTACATATTTACACATCTTAACACAAACATGTTCAGCTGTCAGGATGTTATTGTTCAGTGACCCTGCCTAGTCAGACCCAAAGACTTGCCAACATCCCCGGTAATCTCTTCCTTTATCGTAATCTGTTCATTTGTGGGCTCTCTTCAGAACAATGAGATACACATTTTTGAAAAAAAATTCTGGGCATGTCCTGATACTGTATTGTAGAAAGACTGGTGTTGTCATTCTGCCAGGTCAGAGATTCTGACACCTGAATTTTTAAGTTGTTATGACAAAAAAAAAATTAGAAGCCTGAAGGAACAAAGTCTTGTAGCATAAAAGATCTAGACCCCCTAAAAAACCTAAAAAGCCAGGGTATTGCAACAAGGTAATATTGTGTATCTAAGATCTTGAAATTACAAAGCCATATTGTAAGTCCTGCATGCGTCACCTACATATTTACACATCTTAACACAAACATGTTCATTATAACATAAACATGTGCAGCTGTCAGGATGTTATTGTTCAGTGACCTCCCTAGCCGGAGAGCCAGCTAATAGTTTTGGAACTACAGTAAACTATTGTTCAAGCCTCAATTTTAAAAACACTTTCGTTTTCAGGACTATATTTTTCCCCACTTTATTTTAACATTCTATACACACATTTCAAACCTTGGCAATCCCTCATATTTTTGATTATTTTTCTCCTAGTATTTATTGATAATATTTTTAAACCCATTCTCTTTGCCTAAGAGGCAGCCAGAAGTGATGCATGAGCTTTTTAAAAGCTCAGTCCATATATCTTCTTTACAATATGTAGGTCTTAAGAGTTTGAAAATAGCAGCTGTTTCCCCCGCCTCAGCATTTATACAGTTTCTGTCCTGTATGGGTTCTCTCATGAGTTATAAGGGTTGAGCTTTGATTGAAACTTTTCAGGCAGTGTGAACATTTATATGGTTTTTCCCCTGTATGGATTCTCTCATGTCTGATCAGGTGCGCTTTGTGACTGAAATTCCTACCACAGACCAGGCACGTATAGGGTTTTTCGCCGGTGTGGCTTCTTTTGTGCCTGTTAAGGTTTGATTTTCCACTGAAGCTTTTCCCACAGGCTGCGCAGGTATACTGTTTCACCCCCGAATGGCCCCTCTCGTGACCTATAAGGTCTGTCCTGTGCTTGAAGCTTTCGCCACATTCTAAGCACTTGTATGGTTTCTCTCCTGTGTGGATTTTCTCGTGTCGAAGGAGGTGGGCTTTATGACAGAAGCCTTTGCCGCAAACGGAGCAAAGGTACGGTTTCTCTCCTGTGTGACTCCTCTCGTGCCTCGTCAGGTTGGACCTGCCACTGAAGCCTTTCCCACAAATGGAACAAGCATAGGGCTTATCTCCTGTGTGGGTTCGCTCATGTATGATATAATCTGACCTGTGATTGAAACCCTTCCCACACGCTGGGCATTCATAGGGTTTCTCCCCCGTGTGTGTTCTCTCGTGCGTCACGAGTTTGGCACTTTGGCTGAAGCTTTTCTCACAATGTGAGCATTTGTATGGTTTCTCGGTGTGAGTTCTCTCATGGGAAATGAGGGTAGAACTTTGGCTGAAACTCTTCATGCACTGGGAGCATTTGTACGGCTTCTCTCCCGTATGGATTCTCTCGTGTCTGATCATGTGCGCTTTATGACTGAAGCTTCTGCCGCACACGGCGCAAGTGTACGGCTTCTCTCCTGTGTGGCTTCTTTGGTGTCGGTTGAGGTTGGATCTCCCGCTGAAGCTTTTCCCGCAATAGGAGCATCGATGTGGTTTTTCTCCCGTGTGGGTTCTCCAGTGGGCCACAAGGTAAGACCTTACGTTGAAGCCTTTGCCACAGAGAGAACATTTATGTGGTTTTTCTCCTGTGTGGGTTCTCTCATGGACAAGGAGGTATGACCTCACATTGAAAGTTTTTGCACAATAGGAACATGTATATGGTTTCTCTCCGGCGTGAGCTTTCTCTTGCACAAGAAAATATTTTCGCCAAATGTAGATTTTGCCATAATTATAAGATTTGTATGGTTTCTTGCTCCCTCTTTTGCCTGGGTGGCTTCCAGCCTGCCTTTCTGCTCTGTACTGACTGGCCTTCTCCAGGGATCGGAATATGCCTCCTTTTGTCATCGTTTTGTTGATTTTCCCATGCTTAGTAGTTCCTGACAGAAAATCCTCTTTTTTCATATAACCATTGCCTGTTGGAAGCAAAAGAGTGTCAAGAAAACCAAGTATAATTTGCGCAAAATGCTACATTTTACACACACCCCATGAGGCATAGAAGAGAATGGGATTTACAAAGATAAGCAGCCTGACAAAACTCACAAAAATGGCGGGAGTGTTGAAGGAACCCAACTTTTGCTGGATATATTGCAACCTATATATGATGCCTGTGAGAGGTTTTGGCTGGGGTGGGAGGAACCTTTCTGGTCTGGGGTTGCTGCTGTCAGTCAAATTAGTAACAGCCAATTGTTCCCTCTGTACCTCAGATTCTTTTCCCCGCCTTTTCCCAGGCAGGGTTCTGTCAATTAGTGATGGAGTCTGAAGACAAGAGTGAAGTTCTGTTATCTATGTAATCAGTCAGAAAGTAATGTAGCTAGTTAAACAGTTAAACAGTGATGTAACGATTAACATTTTCTACACTATATGATGTTTGTTTTTACATATGAACTATAAACAGAACATTTTTATTCTTTCTCAGTTACCGGTGGCTCTGAGTGAATGTACTAAGACAGTAAGTGCCAGTTGAGGTAAACTAACTAATAAGGTGTGGTTTACTGAGGGAAACTTGTAGCTCAATTTGCTCTGTAAGTCCCTGAACTTTTATCCGCTTTTAAGCAACAACATTTTCACAGTCTGCCACATACATCAAGAGGCAAACAGGAGAACGGGATTTCCAGATATAGACAGCCTGGCAAAACTCACAAAAATGATGACGCAAGTGTTGAAGGGACACAACTTTTCTTCTTTGATTATCAGCATAAAGAGTTTTACTGTGCTTGGGTGCTTATTTCTTATGTAATCTCTGTATCTTTGAATCCAATATACATATGAAGCCAATATTTCTTCTTACTTGAAAGAACAATCTACACCTCTGTCAACTTGGCCAAACCATGGGGTAATTTTTAGGAAGTAGTGTTTGTCACTGCTGGAAGTGTAACAGGGTGGTTGAGGGACCAACCACCAAAACTGTGGAATGTATATATTTTTTCTAAAACAATATCTCATGTAGTTAAAAGAATTAAGGAGCCCTTCACTCTATCCGTGAGTTAGCAGACAATGGTCAGACTCCATGTGTAAAGTTTGTGTACATTGTGGCTAACTGACAGGGTACCATGGTGCATTTTGGTTGTGTTCCTGGTCATGTTTCCAATTACACAAGTGAAATGGCACTCAAGCACTTTGTCAAGTAGCTGCAATTAGCCATGGCAGATGATTGGAAACCTTCCATGAACACCACCAATAGGATTCTATGGACAACAATACTGGCAAAATGAAAGCATTGGCCTAGATTCAGCAATATGGTCTCATTATTTGCCTCAGTGTCCGGGCCCACTGAGTGGAAGGAAAAGAAAATGTATTTGTTCTCACAGTCCACTCTACACACTGAGCTCACACCAGGTGGGACTGGCAAAGCTGGAGGTGACTCCCATAATGCCCTTCCAAGGGAAAACAACAACAAACTTCTAAATTAAATTGGAATTACCCATCTAATGAATCTATTTCAATTCCGAGATCAGGTATGACCCAGAGTGAGTTCTGAGATACCAGTTTGACCCATAAACCCGAAGTCATCAGGGTTGGCCCATCCATTAGACAGGGTAAGATGGTCACGTCAACAGAGGTACTAGGTATGGCATATCACCTTCCTAACTCCAAGCAGCCATTTCTGTGGGGAGCCCCTCTCTCACCTGACTGGGTTTTTGAGACGGTCACCATGCTTCCTTCTTGGAGGTCAGAAACCCACTGCTCCTCTTCCGGTTCCATCTTTATAATCACAGCAGGGAATCCTGAGCAGAAGAAGGATGTCAGTATGACCAAGAAGTGGGACGTATCTAACCGCCAGGGTCAGAAGTAACACCGGATGTGTGCACCCAAAAGGTGGTCATCATGGTTAATGCCATGAGTCGACTTCAGATTTGTTTTAGTGCTTCAGGTTTTTTTTCCTCTTATGGCTGAACACCTGTACTCTCATCAAAGCTCACTGGGACAATCCTGCAAGCCAGAGAATTTGCTCCCTAAGATAAACAACAAACATCAAGTTGTTGTTGTTGTTTAGTCGTGTCCGACTCTTCGTGACCCCACGGGACAGCAAGTGCTCTTCCACTATTTATTACTGATTTATTACATTGATATCCTACCTTACATTCAAAGAGATGTATGTACATGGTTATCGTCCACATTTTCAGTCTTACAACAACCCTGTGAGGTAGGCTATGGTGGAAAAACAGGGACTGACTTTAAGGTCAGCCAGTGCACTATGGGGAACACGGACACACACATTCTAGTCTACCACTTAAACCAGAACATCATACTGGAACTGAGTTCTATGTAAAGCAGCTGAATGAACTGGTCACTGAATTTAATTTCAGTAATGGCCAAGGGAACCTGGTTGGATAGATCAGTGAGTTAGGTATCTGGTTGCGGAATCAGAGATTAGATGTTCGATTCCCCACTGTGCCTCCTGGGAGAAGAGCCAGCCTGGGTGGCCTTGGGTGAACTATGAAGTCCCACAATGCTTCTGTAAGAAGAGACTAGTAAATCACTTATGAGTACAGTGGTGCCCCGCATAACGAGCGCTTCATTTAACGACGAATCCGCATAGCGATGGCTTTTTTGCGATCGCCTGGGACAATCCTGCAAGCCAGAGAATTTGCTCCCTAAGATAAACAACAAACAGCAAATTGTACCTGAAGTCCTATGTCTTTCACGTGAGGGGGGGTCTTCTGCTTGAGACCACCACCAACTGTCTCATTTTTCTGCTACTCCAGCCTTGACATGCGAGGAAACCCAGTGGCCGTGCTGACTTGGAATGGGAATTATGGAGATGTAGCCCAAGGCCTAAATCAAAGTGTCACATCCAACTGGCACAGACTTATTGAATCAGCTGTCCTACACTTGCACAAATCTCTCCCTTTCCCTGCCCCAGCTCACTAGAGTAATAAATGTGTGGGTATAGCCGGCTACCTCTACATCCAAAGTTTCAGTGTCTTACAAAGACAGCAGGGAAGGATTCATGAATCAGGCGGAAAGAAAGAAAAAGGGGAAATGTTATTTTCCCTTGCCACTCTTTTCTGGAATCTCCCTTCTCTAAATCCTGAACAAGATGTCTGTTCCAGGCCGATTAACTTACTCGGTGGGAATCCACACCACCAAATAGTTACAGGAAGTCAGAGTTTGAATGAACAGCAGGAGAAACTTCTTAACTGTTAGAGTAGTACAACAACAGAACCCATTTTACCTCAGGAGGTGGTGAGAGCTCCAACGCTGGTGACATTCCAGAAAAAAAAATCAACCACCTGTCAGATCTACTTTGATTTGTATTCCTGCATTGAACAGGGGATTGGACTCGATGGCCTTATAGGCCCCTTCCAACTCTGTTATTCTATGAATTTTTGATAATAAAGTAGGCTTAGCCTCAGACTGGTTTATTTATTTATGAGCACACGCAAACAAATGCATAATTATTGAGTAATAAACCCATCTGTTCACCCTGACTCAGAATGTTTTTCTCACCCGGACAGGAATCTGAAACAAGTCCACTTTTTTGTGGTCCTTCATGAGGACTAGGGGAGTCCTCTAGTTCTTGTTCTTCCGTCTTTACAGTTGCATCAGGAAACCCTGTTTGAATACAGAATGAGCAAGAAGAGGCGATGGTTAGAAGCTATTATGTGTGTGGACCTAAACCCCCCACCCCCATAATAGTTTGTAAAATACGTGATTTATCAATGGAATCTTAGTTCCACTTCCTTCAAAGGTCTATTGGGTAAGGACGCGCGAGAGAGGCCTTCTCAGTGGCTGCTCCCAGGGTTTGGAATGCACTGACCAGACAAGCCAGGTTAGCTCCCTCCCTTCTGTCCACAGGCAAATACCTTCCCTTTCAGGCAGGCTTTTAAGCAATAAGCGATGGTTTCAGGAATACTGCATTTATTGAATTTTGAGATTTTAAAAATGTTTTTTAAATGGTTTTTATTGTGATTTTCAATACATATATATGTTTAATTGTCTTTTAGTGTTGCTTCTCATGGCATTATTTAATGATAATCATATACAGTATATCACAGAAGTGAGTACACCCCCTCACATTTCATAAATACTTTAGTATATCTTTTTATGTGACAACACTGAAGAAACGACACTTATGGCTGAACACCTGTACTCTCATCAAAGCTCACTGGGACAATCCTGCAAGCCAGAGAATTTGCTCCCTAAGATAAACAACAAACATCAAGTTGTTGTTGTTGTTTAGTCGTGTCCGACTCTTCGTGACCCCACGGGACAGCAAGTGCTCTTCCACTATTTATTACTGATTTATTACATTGATATCCTACCTTACATTCAAAGAGATGTATGTACATGGTTATCGTCCACATTTTCAGTCTTACAACAACCCTGTGAGGTAGGCTATGGTGGAAAAACAGGGACTGACTTTAAGGTCAGCCAGTGCACTATGGGGAACACGGACACACACATTCTAGTCTACCACTTAAACCAGAACATCATACTGGAACTGAGTTCTATGTAAAGCAGCTGAATGAACTGGTCACTGAATTTAATTTCAGTAATGGCCAAGGGAACCTGGTTGGATAGATCAGTGAGTTAGGTATCTGGTTGCGGAATCAGAGATTAGATGTTCGATTCCCCACTGTGCCTCCTGGGAGAAGAGCCAGCCTGGGTGGCCTTGGGTGAACTATGAAGTCCCACAATGCTTCTGTAAGAAGAGACTAGTAAATCACTTATGAGTACAGTGGTGCCCCGCATAACGAGCGCTTCATTTAACGACGAATCCGCATAGCGATGGCTTTTTTGCGATCGCATTGCAATGTTTTTGCTGTGTTTTCACACCCTTTCCTTGCTTACCGGGCAGCGAAAATGGTGGCCATATGGAGGATTTTCGCATAACGGTGAGACCACCACCAACTGTCTCATTTTTCTGCTACTCCAGCCTTGACATGCGAGGAAACCCAGTGGCCGTGCTGACTTGGAATGGGAATTATGGAGATGTAGCCCAAGGCCTAAATCAAAGTGTCACATCCAACTGGCACAGACTTATTGAATCAGCTGTCCTACACATTGATTTACCAAGTTCTGGCTGATTAAATATATTTATTCTAGTTAGGACTACAAACCAGAGTTAGGTCCCAGTGTTTCCAAAACTCTGGGCTAAACTGACAAATGAATGGAAGGATGCTAGGAAGGATGCTCTATAGTAGCTCCCCTACGGTGCGTCCCGTCAGGATCTAGTTCTCCAAAGCCTGAGGATCCCACCCCGCCCCCAGCTACACTACCTGAGACTTTTTACAATTTGAGATTTCAGTGATTTAAGAACATAAGCATCAAGAACATAGGAACATATGTTACAGAGGCTGGTCCTCCTCTGGCTGCTTTTAATGTTGCACCATCTCAGGCCCTTGAAGGTCCTCACCTTGCTCATACCCCTGATGATCTGGCATCCATGGTTCCTCCTCTTCTTCCGCCTTTACTGTGACAGCTGGAAAGTCTGATGAGGTCAAAGATGGGAGAGAAGGATCAGTTGACAGAAAAATTCTGTCTTCTTTTAAGGATGATTTCACTAGAACTGAAGAGACAGTTCTGCAATACACAGAAAACTTTCAAGATGAACAAAGAGGGGAAAGGGACATTTTAAAGGGATTTAAGAAGGCGGGATTAGGGGATGCTCTGTGGAGAGAGAACATGTCTCTCTCTTCTTGCACAAATCTCTCCCTTTCCCTGCCCCAGCTCACTAGAGTAATAAATGTGTGGGTATAGCCGGCTACCTCTACATCCAAAGTTTCAGTGTCTTACAAAGACAGCAGGGAAGGATTCATGAATCAGGCGGAAAGAAAGAAAAAGGGGAAATGTTATTTTCCCTTGCCACTCTTTTCTGGAATCTCCCTTCTCTAAATCCTGAACAAGATGTCTGTTCCAGGCCGATTAACTTACTCGGTGGGAATCCACACCACCAAATAGTTACAGGAAGTCAGAGTTTGAATGAACAGCAGGAGAAACTTCTTAACTGTTAGAGTAGTACAACAACAGAACCCATTTTACCTCAGGAGGTGGTGAGAGCTCCAACGCTGGTGACATTCCAGAAAAAAAAATCAACCACCTGTCAGATCTACTTTGATTTGTATTCCTGCATTGAACAGGGGATTGGACTCGATGGCCTTATAGGCCCCTTCCAACTCTGTTATTCTATGAATTTTTGATAATAAAGTAGGCTTAGCCTCAGACTGGTTTATTTATTTATGAGCACACGCAAACAAATGCATAATTATTGAGTAATAAACCCATCTGTTCACCCTGACTCAGAATGTTTTTCTCACCCGGACAGGAATCTGAAACAAGTCCACTTTTTTGTGGTCCTTCATGAGGACTAGGGGAGTCCTCTAGTTCTTGTTCTTCCGTCTTTACAGTTGCATCAGGAAACCCTGTTTGAATACAGAATGAGCAAGAAGAGGCGATGGTTAGAAGCTATTATGTGTGTGGACCTAAACCCCCCACCCCCATAATAGTTTGTAAAATACGTGATTTATCAATGGAATCTTAGTTCCACTTCCTTCAAAGGTCTATTGGGTAAGGACGCGCGAGAGAGGCCTTCTCAGTGGCTGCTCCCAGGGTTTGGAATGCACTGACCAGACAAGCCAGGTTAGCTCCCTCCCTTCTGTCCACAGGCAAATACCTTCCCTTTCAGGCAGGCTTTTAAGCAATAAGCTACCTCAGGAGGTGATGAGCGCTCCAACGCTGGAGACATTCCGGAAAAAAAATCAGACAACCACCTGTCAGATCTACTTTGATTTGTATTCCTGCACTGAACAGGGGATTGGACTTGATGGCCTTATAGGCCCCTTCCAACTCTGTTATTCTATGAATTTATGATAATAAAGTAGGCTTAGCCTCAGTCTGGTTTATTTATTTATGAGCACACGGAAACAAATGCACAATTAATGAGTAATAAAGCCATGTGTTCACCCTGAATCAGAATTGTTTTCTCACCTGGGCAGGAACCTGAAACAAGTTCACTTTTTTGTGGTCCTTCATGAGGACTAGGGGAGTCATCTAGTTCTTCCGTCTTTACAGTTGCATCAGGAAACCCTGGTTGAATATAGAAGGAGCAAGAAGAGGCTACAGTTAGAAGCTATTATGTGTGTGGACATAACACCACCCAATGGTTTGTAAAAGAAGTGATTTCTTGATGGAATCTTAGTCCCACTTCCTTCAAAGGTCCGTTGGGTAAGGACGCGCTGGACCAATTACGGAGGCATCCAGATTCTCAACATGCACCTTTGATACACACAACGAACCTCTTACCTGAACAGGCAGCCGAGATCTGTTTTTCTTCCAAATCTTGCTGATCCAGCAACCATGATTCCATCTCTTCTTCCACTTTTACCTTCACTTCAGAAATTAAAGCAACTCGGTTGCAAGTAATGCAGGACGTAGGGAGGAGGGGAAAAAGATGGCGGCACCCAGTTGAAAAGTACAACATGGCTTCATCCCCAGTGGCACAAACGTCTGTACATACAGTATATCACAGAAGTGAGTACACCCCCTCACATTTCATAAATACTTTAGTATATCTTTTTATGTGACAACACTGAAGAAACGACACTTGGCTACAATGTAAAGCAGTGAGTATGCAGCTTTTATAACAGTGTACATGTACTGTCCCCTCAAAATAACGCAACACACAGCCATTAATGTCTAAACCACTGGCAATAAAAGTGAGTACAAAGGATGATGAATCCTCTCAAGGGTCCTGGAAAATGGTCAGTCCGGGACCATTTTGGACCAATTCTGGACCAATTACGGAGGCATGCAGATTCTCAACATGCACCTTTGATACACACAACGAACCTCTTACCTGAACAGGCAGCCGAGATCTGTTTTTCTTCCAAATCTTGCTGATCCAGCAACCATGATTCCATCTCTTCTTCCACTTTTACCTTCACTTCAGGGGACCCTGATCAGGAGAAAGTGGCCTGAAAATGAAGTGTGGATGGCTATTCCCATAAGGAGTCAGTTGTACTGAATATCTGCAAATCTCACTGTTGCAATGACCCGCGTTTTCTCAATTCACTCAAACTGTCTTTCTGTCACCACAGTTCCTAGAGAAGTTACACTCCTGGGCACAAGTGATCTCAGATTCCAGAAGTAGAAAAATCAAGGATCCCTAAACAGCTTGGGTTGCAAACTAATACAC